CAAGAGGTATCTAAACGAATACGTCGTACGTTGGCGAGCATTCCGTTGAGGTACTGTGGATCTCCCAATAGTGTTCTACTCAGGACAACGCCTGTCCATTACCGTAACTTGTTATTAATTCCTAGCGAGGAGTAACATTTAGTCGCTGCAAGTATGGAGAGGGTCAAATTTGTGCATTTTACCGCGTGAAAAATGTTCTCGGGTGATAACTTGGTTCAGTTCTTCTTTCACGTGTGCTGTGAGGTATTGGGTAGGATAGAGGATGAGGAGCGGGGTCGTACCAGAGAAGAAATGTTCGAGAGAGGTCGTGTCTTGCAAAATTTCCTCTAGCGGCAGGACGTGTCCTGTTTCTGAAATGCGATCTTCTGCCCATGGTGAGATTCCCCGCGATAATGTGCTGTAATCCGAACAGTTGCTGTCCATTACCGTAACTTATAAATCCGGAGATGTGGATAGTGATATCGTGAGTAATGAGGCGGATCGTTGTCGGCATCTCAAAGGCACAATCATGTCCGAGTTCTAATGTGATCGGCCATCGATTCCGACAGCCCATTCATTCAGCACGATGACAACGCTGACGATGTTTTGTGATGGATGAAGTCCGGTGAGTTCCGCTTTTTCACGTCAGGAAGCTTACTCTAGCAACAAATTCACCCCCTCGTATAATGGACTATCATAAACTCATTTCTGCAATAGTCCACCGACAACAAACGAGTCTATCCGTAGTGCATGTAATGATACCGTAGCCTTTTCACCTGTCTCTTGAGGACTTTCTGACCTTCTCATCCCCACGAACACATTCAGTTTCAAATGATCCACTCTTAACTCATAGCGGAATTCTTTTAATCTTCGCATGAATGGCATGCATTGTCGTGTTAAAGACAGCCCCCGCGCTCGAGTAGTACATGGTCGTCCTTCCTTGTGCAAGTAGTACAGCCCCCAAGCTAGAGACTGTCCCACTCTCGCGACTCCACAGCGAGCGAGGAGCGAGCTACAGCTGCTGAAAGTTCTAGTTCTAACGCCCGCCCAGTTGGACCGCCCACTTGCTAGATGCCCTCTGACGGAGAGCCGCTCAGTTGTTCTTTGTTGGGGCGGCGGGCATTGATCGGAATCTCATCGGAATTGCATTGCACATTTTTGCTGATTTGCGCTCGGTCTGCCTATGAATGGTTCTGCTCTCCTTTATTACATTTTTATTTATTAGGCACATACAGTCAACTCCAACCCATCTTGCAAGGTAAAACGCGTAAAAATCACGAGCGACCCAATTTTCGTGGTGCAAAAGCTCGACGCACCACACTACACTAAAAGATGCACGCTACCGTAACCCTAAATTCAGACGCCTAGTTTTTGAAAGTTTCTTTTCCTTTTCAAGAGTTTTTCTTCCGTGTTTTTGTTGTTTTTCGTATTCTTTTCATTGCATTGGATGATACCCACTACTGGGAGATGTGATAAAGGAATTTGTGAGCCAGGGGTTGCACAGAGACCGCAGGAAGGTGTGACTGCCAATTTTGTTTATTGTGTTCTTGAGGACTCTTCTTGCTTTTTTCTTCTTTGGGGAATTACTTATCAGCTACTGTTTCATAATTGAAAAGCAACTATCCATGACACTTTTATCGCGAGAGCTGTCTTTAAGTTCAAGGAATTCAGGCTGAGCCTTTATCTGATTCCTCGAGTGTAGATTTGGTTTAAAAGGTTGGCGCTGATCGGCTTGGAAAAGGCATTTTTTACTTTCGCTGGTTCCGCTAGCTCTTGCTAATTACCAGGTTAAACCTTGGTGAACGAATAAAATCCTGTGAAGCTACAGCATCATAATTTTGGTCCCAGTAGATTGCACTTCTTCGAAAAATTTCACAAAGTATCCTGAACCAGTTTCGCGAAGTACCATGTGCTGCTCTCACTAAGCCAGACTGCACAGTGAGGCCCTCGAGCAGGTATTTTGACTACCTGAACGTGAACATCACACCTGTCTGACACCAAAACTCCTGACGCTGTCGTTGCAAAAGGGTGTTTCCAAAAAATTTAACTACCTACTGGGACAAATCTAAGTAGAAACTAGCCTGGGTTTTGAAGAGTGGGGACGCTGTGGTAGAATAGGGCTAAAGAAAACTTAAATAATGAAAAGAACGTACCGTGTACAGGTTGATGACATTGTAGGTAGGTAATTGGTGTAATACAAAACCACACGCAGTTAAAACCATCAATCAACGATCCCCCACTGTCGTTTTGAGGAACGTATTTCAGCGCTCGTCTCGTCCGTTCGGGAAAAAATTTGAAAATTGCCACCCCTCTTCCTGCAATGGTCAAATACGCCTCCTTTGGTAGGGATCTCCAACGTGCGACGTGCCGTATTACTCACCGGTTTTGTAAAATTGAAAAAAAGGGTGAAATTAGGTTTCACGCGAATCAAACAACCATACCAGTTCTCATAGAACCTTCGGATATCATAGGCTACCCGGTTCCTTGCCGTTCAGTGCGCAGCATTTCTCTGCCGTATTTTCCACGAAGCTCAAAATCAAGTGCACAACGGAGGGTCACAAGACGAATGTCTAAAATCAAAAATGTTAGAAATTAGAAATGCGGCAGCGTTACTGTTGAACGGATCACCAGCCACGCCTTCCACGTCCTAGAGATTATGAACTAATGAACTGTTTCACACACTTACGAAAAACGAGTCCAACACTCATCCCTGTCGTCAATTCCTGGAGGTCAATCTACAGCTTACAACATATGGACCTCTTCTACTTCGTGGAATCTGCCCGATGTTCCTCACATCTGATTCTGCCGGTGTTCCATCACATCTGATTCTGACTCGTTGTTTGAAAGTTAACGAACGAACGATCATTCCTTTTTGAGATGCGGCACGCATTCTACTTCCATTCAGAATCGTAGTAGGCTTATTGAATGCGATATGGCTTATACAATGACTTGCGGTGGCCAGCCAATGAACAAGTAGAGGTTCTTATCCTCCCACTTGACCGGTAGCACTATACAGCTCCTGTGGGATGGAAGGCTCGATTGTCTTGTGCCAGACAATGTGGCACACAGTGTGTTGTGCCAGAAGATTGAATCAAGGGACCGCGCACGTGATAAGCACATCACTTGCCACTTTACCACCTCCGCCTATAATCTATCGGATCGGCCGGTTTCGGCGAGTGTTGAAGTGATTCCCTATCGTTTCTCACATTTTCCGCTCTCCGGGCTCGTCTGGAACAGAATTACGAATTTTTGAAAATTTCGTAGCAAGCCCCGCCACCTATAGCACGCCCCGCCCAATCAGGATGTGCCTCCTTGTTCATCCGCCAACTGATTCCCTATTGTTTCCCGCGTTTCCGCTCTCCGGGCTTATTTGAAACCGAGTTACGAATTTTCAAAATAAAATTCCACTGGCTAAGGGCACGCCCCGCCCATAGTGGGCGGAGCTCAGCTCAGTTCATGCGTGTTCCGTACATCTTGGCCCATGCCCTACTCATCACACTCTGATCCGCCCCCTCAAAGTGGCTCTTCAGGTGATGCCGAATTTCCGGACAGACAGACAGATAGGACAGGCAAACCAGGCAAACAGACAGACGTTGCCTTAATATATAAGTAGGATAGTTTAGTTTCATTGTTATTTATTTAAGTTATTGGTTACTCAGAGGCAAAGCCGCAATCATTCGCCATCACAGATAGTGGATTAGGGGTTTGCAAATAAACGACAAGGTTCTGAGTAACTGCACGAGGTTCTGTGTGTAGTAACAAGTGGCGAAAAAGCAGAAAAAATTGTGCCAACTGGTCCAGATAGAACCCCCCTCTTCCTATCCCAGTTTTGTACGACCAATTGTCGCAATCTCCAACACACAGTCCTCATCCGCACACGTATCCCCGATAAGAAACCCTACGACCGCACAAGTGACGATTTTCAAGTCCTGCAGCTTCGTTTCTTCACCTGAAAAGGCCGCGTCCTTGGAGGCGGAGTCACTGGAGAAAGGAGGCCTCACTGAACTTTTATTGCGCTATAGCGCCCCTCCCTTACAACTTTTTGCTGCAAAACCGGTACAAAATTGTTCGTCGCGGACCACACTATCCTCCGACGCCATATTTTCAACTTCTATACCTGATCGCGGACCGTGCCTTTGACCCCTCTTCCCCTTGATTCCTTTTAATATGTGTCGCATGCCATGTCTCATTCAGCTTCCCTCTCTGCGTTCTTTGTTTGACTGCCGCCGTTTTTTTTTCTGAATAGAGAGTGCTGCTTTTGGGACAGCTTTAGAGCCAGTCTTAGCTAACATACCGTATCTCACCAGTTTATGCTCTTCTATTGAACTGATATTCAGTAGAGAACTATGTACCCATTCTTGGCTTTCTACTGTAGAACTGCTTAACAAGATAATCTCAAATCTCTAACGGACCAATCTCGTGTCAATCTCGCGTTGTACTACTGTTCTTTGTTCTTATCAGTCGTCGTACCTCATATCTGATTGAGTGTTCATTAGCGCGAGACTAACCTGATTGAGATCTTCCGTGATTACAGCCTTGCTCTCTGCGGACACTGAGACGTGTCAGGGGGGGGGGTTTGATGTGGCGCCAGCTCTCCATCACTTGTGGAACTGGCGGTGCGACCACATTTGATGGATTTTGGCTGGCGCCGCGCCAAACTGACCTCCCCTCTAAAGCGCCATAGCGTTAACAGCAAACGAGACCGCTTATACATTCACAATACTCCTCGTTACGTTTTCACCGTTTAAACACTGAATCTTCGAATTTCAATTCTGAAATATTCTTAA